TTTTTTTTTTTTGGTGCCCGGGATTGAACTCGGGTCCTTGCGCTTACAGGGCAGGCAGTGGCACCACTGAGCTAAATCCCTGGCCCCTAGCTTCTTATAATTTTATGATTATTCTGGAGAGGCTGAAATTGATAAATCTATTAAAATCAAAAGTCCTCTAGTACATTAAAATAATACCAATGCCATTCTGATTTCATATGAAAAAAATCAATGTTTTAAACATCTTCATTTCTTCACATAAGTGATTAAGAAAATTTAACTGAGAGGAAAAATATAATAATAGAATAGTCCATTAAATAGAAAATATAGTGAGCTAAGTCAACGTCAGTTTTTTTAAAGAAACAAGTTAATACACGCAAGAGCACTGTTTCTTCTCCACTTGAATAGGAAAGTGAAACAAAATTAGCATTTGACTCCATAATTCCATTACTTATTACACTTCTAAGTGGTTCAGTATCTCCAAAAGTACACCTGTCATTGTTTTAATGCACATACATACATACATATGTACACACACACATTTGTTTTATTATTATTATTATTATTATTTTATGTCTAAAGACCGTTTAGCTTGGTCAATCATATTCCAAGTATGGTAAAGAAAGAGTTACTAAAAATACTGCTGGTGTTCAGTTAGAATTAAAGGACTTCGGGGAAAATGAAATAATATGATACAGGTGAAGTGTACACGGGATTTACATTTTCCATTACCCCTAGATATAAACAGACATTCAAAAATCAACACAAACTCTGTGTGTTATTCAAAATATTGCAGCTGCAAGAAAGGCAACTTTAAATTAATAGCTAGGGGAAAATCAAGTTTTGGTGGAGGTAAACAGAAGTGACAGTTTTTGATTTGCACTTTTGTAAAGCTCATTTATACCTGGTAAACCAGGAACCAAATGCAGGACAATGAAGTCCTCTGCTTCTTTTGGCTATAATGACACACGCATTTTATACTTGTAGGAGAGTGTAGTTATTTTTCAAGAGAAACTGATATTTAAGCTCATGGGCCTGATTTAGTTCACTTGATGTGTCTCAAGGTGCATCCATTCTCCTACATACGACTGAGGTTTATCCTTCTTTACAGCAGAGTCCTGTGCTGTGCTACTCTGTTCTCTTCTTCAGTGAGATCAGCCTTCTTAGCTTCCACATGAATGCGATCGTGTGTGCAGTATTTGTCTTTCTGTGCCTGGGTTATTCCACTTAGCACAATACCCTCAGGTTCATCTATGTTTTCCCAAATGATAAGATTTCATTCTTTTTCAAAGAAATGGCTGAGTGTCCCACTGTGTACATGGACCACACTTTCTTTATCTATTTATGTCATGGGCACTACGATTGATTCTGTATCTTGCCTATGGTGACCAGTGCCACAGTGAATATGCAAGGGCAGGCGTCTCTCCCACACTCCGATCTCACCCCTCTGGACACATACCCGGAGTGAGAAAGTAGAGCATATGGTGAATCTACCTGGCTTGGCTTTCGGAGACCCCTAGTCGAGGCCCCCTCCTGTCCAATCCAGCTGTGGCCCAGCCTGTCTGTGAGGTTTCTTGCTTTTCCTGTTCTCTCCCCAGAACCAGAGTGGGAACTTTCAGATGCTGGTCTCCAAGCCTGAGGCCAGCCTGAGGCCTCCCAAATATTCATAAATTTAATGGTTGATTCCAAACAACATCTGTGTATTTATTGGTTCATTAAAAAAAAATCGGTGTATTTATTGACTCATTGCAAAAAGCATGCATGGATCCCAGAGTATTTAGTGGAGCATAAATATTTTAGGTGCAAATAACTTTGAGGACATCTAAATCAAACACAACTGAAACTTCTTATTTTTTGCAGGACTCTCAGAGCCTTTAATTTACTTTGTCAGTCCCCCTTTGAATAAGGTATGCGGTATTTTTCAAATGTTTTCGTCCTTTTTTCTTCTTTTCTTTTGGAGCTAAGCACACTTGGCATCGTACATAGTTCCTGAGAACTCACCTTGGGAAAGGAATACGTAGGCTCGTGGTCAGAGTTCCTGAAATGTTGGTATTTGACTGGCTGTGCCTTTGTCCTGCTACAAGCATGATCCGCATTATCTTTTCTTTCCTGGGCACTTTTTATTAGTCTACATTTGTGATACATGAGTCCATTTCTCTTGGGGAATTTACAGAGACAAGTTGGATCTCAATCAGTTTTACTTCCCTTTCTCCTCCCCTCCCTCTTGTCTTCCTCATCCTTGATGCACTCCCCATCTACACAAAGTCTGCCTCCCTGTTTCCCATCGCCTTTCTTTTATTTTTCTCTTTACGTAGAGACCATGCGACATTTAACCTTCTGTGTCTGACTTATTTCGTGATCTGAATTATCTCCTGCAGCCTCAGGAACTGAGGTCAAAAATAAAAGACTAAATGCAAAGGAGAGCATTAGAGGGCCGGGGATTTATCTCAGTGGTTTTGCCGCCTGCTACTCAAGTGCAAAGACCCGAGTTCGATCCCTGGTACCAAAAAAAAAAAAAAAAGGAGAGCATTAGAGAAGAAAAATACTCAAGAAATCCGAGAAAGCTACTACAGTTTGCCTTAAAATTAAGTGCTAGCTGGGTATCTGTAATGCCAGCACTCTAGGAGGCTGAGGCAGAACTGTCACGAGTTTGAGGGCAGCCTGGGCAATGTAGTGAGTTAGCAGGACTCCGTCTCAAACAAACAAACAAACAAACAAACAAACAAAAAAGGAGAGGGGAGCTAGAGAGGTAGCTCAGTGCAAAGACCTTGGGTTCAATCCCTAGTATTGCCAACCAACCAACCAGCTAACCACCAACCAACCAACCAAACAAACAAATAAACAAATAAAGCAAACACCTGGGAGCAAACAGTGAGCTCTGGAGGCTTCCATGGCTTTTGGCTGGCAGTTCAGCAGGAAGGTCAAAACCTTCCAGCTCTGAGTGAGGCTGTTTTTATTCATCTGTTCTTCACTGCTCACTGATTCATTCATTCATTCATTTCTTCACTCACTCAATGAACGTTTATTTACCACCTACTATTAATAAGCATAATGCTAGATACCAGGGATAAAATGGTAGACAAAAAAAGACCTACGAAAAAGAAGTTCCAGCCAGAACAACCACGCCAGTCATCAGCAGGCCCTCTTCTTGGAAATTTGTTCTTAATTCTCAGGCACAACCTTTGGACCCTGCCGCGGTTTTGCTCTTCCTGTTTTATATTAGAATCACAGACGGTGGTGACTTTCTAGTTGCAGGGAGCCCAGGTGATCCATAGAACCCAGATTTTTTGTGTTAGAATTTTCAGGAAAACCAGTGTGGGAAACTGGGCGGAAGCAGAGGGCATGGGTCTCTTCTGGCCCTGGGGCATCCCTGGGACATGGGGCATCTTATCTGGGCACCCCTGGGCGTTGGGGAGCATAATTTGACTTCCCCTTGCCCCCATCCTTACACTCTGGCTTTTCAGCATGGGAAGTTCTCAAGGATCACACCTGGGATTGAACTCTGGTCCTTGCGCTTGCGCAGCAGGCGGTGAAACCACTGAGCTAAATCCCTGGCCCAAGGATCAGATTTTTATTGATTTATTGGATGGACAGATGGATATGTAGGTGAATATGTAGATAAATAATGGAGTTGTGGAAGGATGATTTGAATAGAGGAGGGGTATTTATTGGATGAATAAAAGAAGGAAATGATGGATAGGTGGATGGGTGGAACCAATGAATAAATATATGGGTGGAGAGATGCCTAGTAAGGGCACAATATTATTATTTTTTAAATGAGGCGGTCAGTGAGTGAATGGACCTTTAGATGATGGATTTTTAGTCCTTTCTCTGTGGCCCATTCTGGGTAATTTATAAAAAGGAGAGGCTTATTTAGCTCATGGTCCTGGAAACCAGGGAGTCCCTGACAGTGGTGCTGGCACCTGCTTGGCATCTACTGAGGGTCATCTTGTTGCACAATAATATGGAAGAGCCAACCCCAGCACTCACAGAGGCTGAGGCAGGAGGATTGCAAGTTTGAGTCCAGCCTGGGCGACTTAGCAACTTAGCAAGATGCTGCCTCAAAACAAAAAGTAATAAAAGGGGCAGAGTATGTAGTTCAGTGTGAAGGCCCTGGGTTCAATCTCCAGTAAGGAAAAATATGGTAGAGGGCATTACCTGGTGAGACAGAGTGAAAATTCACTTTTATAACAAAGCCACTCCTTCAATAACCTATTAATCCACGAATCCATGAATGGATTAGACTATTCATGAGTGAAGGATTCTTGTGACTCAATCATACCCCAAATATCCCATCTGCAGATACCACTAACATATGAGATCGGAGATGCAGTTCTCCAAGTGTGGAATTTGGGGGATACATTTAAACTGTAATGGAATGATGGGCCAGTGAGTGGTAGAGCCAATGAACGAGTGTGCAATTTGCTGGGGAGGTGGATGGATGTTTGAGAGGGGCTGGGGGGTACCTGAGTGGGTGGGTGGGTGAATGGATGGATGGACACAGGGACAGTTGAGTGAATGCATGAGCGATTAGATCATCCATATACAAATGGGAAGTTGGATGGATGGATAGGCAGCTGCAAAATTCTGGCTGCAGAAGTTGATCTTGGGGGTGCGATCTAGGCACAGTTCAGATGAGTATCAGCTTGTTTTCTGATCCCCAACTTGACTGGCTTAACTCCCTGGCTAACACATTCTCTCTTTATAGGTTCAGCCTTCCTTTAGTCTCCAAGAAATTTACTCTGGATCTCAGATTAAGCCAAGCCCTTGACTTGTTTGCCAGCTTCAGTGGTAAGGAGAACACCCCGGCAGGAACCCGCGTGCTCTGAAGATACAGGGTCTCCATGGCCACTGTGGGTGCTCTCTTGCCTTTGCAGCCAGTGGCTTCTCTCTGGCAGCCTCAGCCCTCCTCCCGGGGCATCAAACCATCTGCCCTGCTTTCTCTCCGCTGCTCCGGTCTCTGTCTCCACGCTGGTCTCCAGCTGCACCTCCTACCTGCTGCCTCTCTTGGCGATGTCAGAGATGCAGGATAAATGAAAGGCAGGGTCGCTGGGGTCACCCTCCTGCCTGGTCCAAGACCTTTCTCCTCCTCCCTAGGGTCTACGGGCAGCCATGGATGTGGGTCTCTTGGACCTACCAGGTGGATCTCAGGTTCCCAGAAAGACTCTTTGGGGCAGTCGGGGCAGGGGCCCAGCCATGCGTCGGCAGCGAGAGTTCATGCCGGAGGAGAAGAAGGACACGGTTTACTGGGAGAAGCGGAGGAAGAACAACGAGGCGGCCAAGAGGTCCCGGGAGAAACGCCGCCTCAATGACGTGGCCATCGAGGGCAGGCTGGCTGCGCTGCTGGAGGAAAATGCGCTGCTCAGGGCTGAGCTGCGGGCCCTCAAGCTGCGCTTTGGCCTCCTGCCATCTTTCAGGGGCCCCCAGGCCTTGCCTCTGCAGGCTCTGCTCTGGGAGCCGCCCTGGTCCCGAGAGCCCTGCTCTGAACCACTCCTGTCTCTGCCTGGCTCCCGCGGCTGCCTCTTAACACCGTGTTCTCTGGAGTCTGGGATCCCGTGCTGCCAGGGCTGCCTGGTGGCTCACGGATGGACGGGCCTTGCTGCTTGTCCCAGATTCTCCCAGGAGCCCGCTGCCCCTGTCCCCAAGGGAACGGACATGCACCTGCAGGCGGCCCTCCCTGCTGCCCTCTTCCGCTGTCACCTCTTGGATGGGCCTGTGGGGCCCAGGCCAGAGCTGAAGCCTCGGTGGGGGCTGTGGTCACCTGTGCACTCTGGGTGCCAGGCCTCGGGGCCCTTAGACGTGCTGCTGACGCCCTCTGCAGATGCCACAGGGATTTCTCCTGGGGTGACCTGCCCTATGCCGGGGAACCTTCCCGAGGGGGTGGCTCAGCCTTCCCTTCCCCACAAACTTCGCATCAAATCCCAGGCTCTGGGCAGGGTGTGTTGAGGCTGGGAGGGCAGCCAGGGCTCCCTCCGAGGCTTCCCCTGGCAGGGTGGTTGGGACTGAACATGGGTTTGTCTGACAGGGGAGTGGCTTGGCCTTGACCAGCTTCCAGAGCCGGGCAAGTCTTGTAGGAAATAGGCTGTGCTGGCTGTCAGGGTGCACTTGCCAGTGTCCAGAACAGGTTTCTAGGCAGAGGAGGTAAGGTTCCATGTTTGTTTCAATCATAGCCTTTGCCTTGCCTTAAAATCTATGCTTTGGATTGTTCTTTTCTCCATCTGTCCGTCCATCCATCCATCCACCCACCCATTCATTCACTTATCCCTCATCTTTCCATCCGTCCATCTATTACCCATCCATTCATCATCCTTTTATTCATATATTCATTTAATCACTCATTCATGTGCTCACTCGTTCATCATTAACTTACTCACTCATTTAGCTACAGTTCATTTGTGTCCTCATCCACCCACTCATGGTCTTGAGATCCTCCCTTGGCTCTCAGCTTAGTGACAAGTGTGAGGACACCTTCCTGGCCTCTGAGTCCTCTCTGGGGTTGGGCACAGAAGGTCTGAGGAGAGACCTACCGAGGGCCACACCAACAGCAGAAATCGTGTCTCAGGGTGTTTGAGTCCTCACTTCTTGCGGTCCTCTTGAGGACTTGCTTACCACTCAGTTTGAGGAACCAATGTGTGACCCCCACCCCCACCCCGATGGCTTCCTCTTTGTCTTGGTTCAGGGACCTGAGCTGTTGGGACAGATCAGCCACAACTGTGTGTGTGGGGTCAGGGTCCTCTCCCTCCCCATCTGCTCCCTGACCTTTAGGACTAGGCATACATACCCAGCTGGGCAGGAGAAAGAGTCACTTGGCAGGGAGGGTCTCCAGAGCTCCTCCCCCCATCTCCCTGGCCAGCTGGGTCATCAGGGGGCATCAGAACAGCCCCCCAAGTTTGGGGGATGGGCTACTTCCCAGCCACGTTGGGTTGATCATGGTCACAAATGTATATGGGTGGGGACGTCCAGGGTGTCTCCTCACTGGTACAACTGAGAGCATTCTAGGCACAGACATAGCCCTGGCCAGTACCCTTATTCTGATTCAGGGCCAAGACTGGGCACATCTTGGCTCACTACCCCTGTCTTTGGCTGTCCAGTGGGAGCAGAGAGCAAAGTTCTGGCCAGGCCTCCCATTTTGCTGGTCATAGTTCGGCAGTCAGCTGGGGGCATTCAGCCAGCCCAGGGCTCATCCCAGGCTCCAGTACTTCCCTCAGGCGTGAGTGGGCTGAGGGCGCAGTGCTCTGCTTTCCTCCCTGCCTTTAGGCTTGGTTTGGAGACTCAGATCTCCTAAGAATGTCCTGGGGAGGCTAGACAGAAGGTCTGTCTGGCAAGGGTTGTCCCAGCCTGTCCCTCCCCAGCCAACTCCCCCAGCTGGAAATGGGGTAGCTTGTGGTGGGGGAGGTCCTGCTTGGCAAAGACCAGAGAAAGCTCTACCTGAGACAAATAAAAGAATTTCCACACCAGAAGGGGCCCCTTGAGTCTGCTGAGTGGCTATCCTGCCTCTGCTTGAATGTCTCTCAGAACAGGGAACACCCTCCAAAGGAAGCCACCATTTCCTCTCTTGGGCCAAAACCTACTTCTTGCAAATGTCTACCTCTGGTTTTGTTCCTAACACACACTCAGTCCCCCATCGCTGTTTCTTCCTTCCTCTTGGAAATGGCTGGGACAATGGACGAAGGCCCTAGGTCCCCCTTTCTGAAGTGGACACCACCACATTTAGCTCAGATAGTCTGAGAGCACAAACTCTCATTTATTCTGTATACAGCACTTCATACACAGCTCAGCACACAATAAGCATATGACACATGTCAACTCCTCTTTCTTCCATTCCCTTCATAGAAAGTTCTCGTGTTCCCAGACTCAGAGTAGGACTCTATCAGTGGAATGTCCTTTTGTTCTGCAAAATCCCTTCTCTTCTCTCTGGCCCAGTTCTTATTTTTTGTCAATGCTATTTACATATGATGACTCCTGAAACTGAATATGCATGTCAGAGATGTTGCATTTTAGAAAGACCTAACTCCAGTCATGGGGGCTGTGTGACTACACACACAGATATTACTGAATTGGAACATGAACTCAGTTTATTCATCAAGTATGTATTTTCAACAGCTTTTGAGCTCCTACTATGCATTAAGCAGGAACTGGGTGAGCAAAGTAGTGATCCAGGCAGAGGTTCATGGAAAGAAGTAGCTCACATGGATGTCTAGAACATTCACCCAAGATGTGTCGATTAGTCTCCTTTGTGCAGGACCGTGGGACCACAGGCATGGTCTCTGCTCTCCAAGAGCCACTGGGAAACTGGTAATTCTCCATGTCAGGTTTGTCATTGCCTTGGGGACTGAAATTTAGGACATTATGCAGCCACACGTTACTTCTCCTCGTCCACCCATCCTTCCAGGATAGTGGGGTCTTGCTGGATATAAACGCATAAAGTTCCCTTCCTGCTTCCAGTGTATCTGGTCATGTAGAATGTGCAATAAACATTGAGTGAGAGTGTCTGGCTGTTCTGGTCGATGATTCCCTGACTTGAGGATGCTGATGAACCTACATTTTTTTTGCCTTTCCCCCGAGGATTCTGAAACGCATCCTGATGGAACCCTATGTTGTCTGCATTCTCCATACTCAGGGTGGGGGGGTCCATGAGCCAGCAGCATCAGCATTGCCTCTTATTACAAATGCAGAATCTTAGGCTCCTTCCCAAACAGCTGAATCATAATTTGCCTTTTATAAGATTTCCCGGTGATCCACATGCCCATTAAAGTTTGAGAAGTCCTGATCCAGGGAAGGAGTTGCCAGGCATTTCCTGTTTGGCTTTGGGTGACAGACAGCCTCTGTTACAGCTACTCCATTTGGCCATCATAGCATGAAAGTAGCCATAGGCCAATAGCAACAGATAGCCATAGGTATGTTCCAATAAAACTTTATTGATAAAAGCAGATGTGGCCAGGCTTAGCCTTTGGCCATAGTTCGCTGATCCCTGCTGTTGGCTGTAAAATTAGGAATGGAACTGTGGCTTGTAAAGGTATTTGTCTTCAACCTTGACATTACCAACTAGTTCTGCAGTGCTGCATTACTAGTTTAAACTCTTTGCAGGCAAAGAAAGTTTGTGTTCACATATATATTCCAACATTTGGTTTTTGATGGACTTTTTGGTTTTGTAAGTTGAGTGGGTGTAAAATGGTTTTAACCTACATTCCTCTGTTGAATGTCTTTGTCAAGATCCATTGGCTACTGGATTTCCTCTTCTATAAATTGCTTCTTCTACTGGGATACTTTCTTTTTTCTTATTGATATCTCAGAGCTCTTTATATATTCTAAATACACATCCTTTGGGGGAGACATCATATACTTTTGGTTGAATTCATCATTTTATTTTATTTACAGCATGCTTTAAAAACTGGATATAACCAAATTTATCAATCCTTCGCCTCTGTCTCTTTCCCCCTCCCCCCTCAACATGGGGGTCTTGCTTTGCTGCCAAGGCTTGCTTCAAACCCCTGGGTTCAGGTGATGCCCTCCTTCAGCCTCCTGTGTGCTGGGTGCACACCTCTATGCCTAGCCTTTAATCGTTTTTTTTAATGGTTTGTAAACGTTATCATGTTCAGGATTCTTTCAGTGTATCAAGACAATAAATATCATCTTTTTTCTTCATGTTCCAGGTACCAGTGAAAGAGGACAAAGCAAAATATATGGATTTCCTGCCATTCTGATGGCCCAGTGAGGGACATAGATAAAAACCCAAAATAAACAAGAGAATGTATAGCAGAGCCAATAATAAGTACCAGGAAGAAAAAAAGGTTGAGAGCTTGGGAAAGGCAGGGATGAGTGGGTTATAATAACTGAAATAGGAAAATCAGGAAGGGCTTTCCTGGAAAAGTGACATTTGAGCAGAGACTTGAGGAAGGACGTCATACTTGTATCCAAGGAAGAGCATTCCCTTAGAAGCAAGAATAGCCTGTGCAAAGGTCCTGAGGCAGGATCACATCTGGTATTTTGAGGAACATGGAGGCATCCCATGTAGCTGCAGCAGAGTGAGCAAGGGGGGAGAGGGAGGGTAAGTGAAGGCAGGGGAGGTGACAGATTGTGCAGGGCCTTGTGGGCAAGGTAGTGACTTTGGCTTCCTCTCTGAGTGAGGTAGGAGTGGTGGAGGAGTTTCTGGGTATATTTTTGCTGTAACTGTCCTCTAACCCCCATTCTGTGGTGGGTGAAGTTGAATGAAAATAAACAAACCCACCACACAAGAGCAGAGAGCAGGCTTGATTTTGGGTGAGGGGGTGGGGTGGTGATGGGCCACACTGTAGCTGTGACTCATCTCCCCATGGGTGGCTGCGTGGTCCTGGCCCTCAGAGGCAGGGAGCTCTGCCTTCCCAGGCTTTCTGGGACATGGGGGGCCGAGCAGATAAAGCTGCTCCATAGGTGGAGTCATGGAGAGAACACAGATGTTTCTCTTTCCTGTTACATAAAGATGGTTTCCACTAAGGCATCATGTTTGGCCAGTGTGGGAGGGAGGGATGCTCCAGCTGGCCCAGGTAGAAGGGTGCTTCCTGTTCAGACAGGAAGTGGCCAAGAATAGCCCATGAGGTAGCATGCTGGGCTCAGGTAAACAGGAAGCGATGGAGATGAGTTGGAGATAAAGTGATTGCAGTCTGTGACACTGGGCACAAGGGCCATGCAAGACCAGGGAATGGGAAGGAGGTAGAGGGTTAAGCTTGCTCTGTAATAGCGTGACTCCTGACAGTCTGTCACTCACGAGTGGGCTCATTTCCTGGCTACCACCAGTGACAACATTGGTGATTCTCTGTGGATTTGGTTTGATCTTCTGTGAAAGACATCATTATCATGGTTCCTATGAACAGTTGGGAAACTGAGGCTCAGAGTGGTTCTATATCTCACCTCACCTCACCTCACATGGCTGGCACATTGGTGAATGGGCCATTTCTCCCTTGTCACTCACTGGGCTGGCATCATTGGCCAACTTCCTGCTCTTTGAAGGCCCTTTCTGCCTTTTCTGTCCATGCTGTTCCCTCTGCCTGGAATGCTATTCCCTGAGTCCTCTTCTTTTTATGTGTATGTGGTACTGGGGATTGAATCTAGGGCCTTGAGCTAATTTCTAGCCTCTCTTTATTTTTGATTTTCAGACAAGGTCTTGCTAAGTCATTAAGAGTCCCAGGCTGGACATGAACTTGCGATTGTCCTGCCTCAGCCTCGTTGAATTGAATCTGAGGTTTGTTAGAGAAACAGGGGCCATGTTATAAGACAGAGGGAGGTAAGCAAACGGAGGATGGCATGGTCCTTTACTCATTCTCATCCATCCATCCATCCATCCATCCACAATCCTCCAGAGAGGACGAGACCTGTTCTTGCTTTTGAGAAGAACATGTACAACCTCCCTGTAAACAATCAAGATTATGTGTGCTGGGTAAAATATCAGACACAGAGAGTTAAATATCGCATGGGTTCTCTTATATGAGAAACCCAAAGTAGAAATAATTTAAAGAGCAAAAGAAAGGCCAGATCGTGGGAAACTGGGTGGTAGATCTTGTGGAGAAAGCGGATGCATGGTGGCCAGGGGCTGGGGAAGTGAGAGGAGAAGGGTGACTGCTACTGGGAACAGGGTTTCCTTTGCGGGTGGTGAAAATGTTCTGGAGACTGATTTTTTTTTTTTTTTTTAGTACCGGGGATCAAACTCTGGACCTTGTGCTTACAAGGGAGGCGCAGCACCACTGAGCTAAATCCCCAGCCCCGATGAATTTTACCTCCACTAAAAAACAAACTATAGCTATGGTCAGGGATTTAGCTCAGTGGTTCCGTTGTCCGCCTTGCAAGCGCAAGGACCTGAGTTTGATCCTCGGTACAAAAAAAACCCCCAAACCAAAAAATCCCCAAATGAACTACAGGGCTGGGGATTTAGCACAGTGGCACCGTGCCTGCCTTGCAGGTGCAAGGTCCTGAGTTCAGTCCTGAGTAACAACAACAACAACAACAAAACAAACTACAGCCAGGTGTGGTGCAGCCCCTCTGTGATTCCAGCTACTCAGGGGGCTGAGGCTGGAGGACCCCAAGTTAGAGCCCAGCCTGGGCAACTTAGCGAGATCCTGTTTCAAAATACAAAATAAGGGCTGAGGATGTAGCTCAGTAGTAAAGCACATGCATGAGATCCTGGGTCCTTCCTCCGCACTGGGGAACAAGCGTGAGTCTGCTGTAATGGGAGGATAGATGGCTATGAGGGGGGGTTGCATGACAGGGGCAGATATCGGGGAACTGGTGCAGGGAGCCCAGGCCGTGTGGAAGGAGAAGGCCTTTCGCTGGGTTCTAGCCTGGACCCGGGGCCCTGGGGAAGGGCTGGGGGCCCCTGCTGGCGACCAGGTTTGAAGCGCCTGGACTTGAGTGTGCACCCTAACCCTAATGCACCTGCGTGCGTGTCGGGGTGGCCTGCCATGGGTGCGTGTGAGTGTGCGTGTGCACACTCCGAGCGTGGGGGGCGTGTGGAATACACACTTGCAGGTGTGCACAGAGACCCTGCGCGTCTCCCCTGTGGGCCCGGTCACTGAGGAGGGGGTGGGTGGGAGACACCAGGGTCCCCCGGAGGGCAGGTGTGTGTTCCTACATCATCTCAGCTCTCCCCATTGCAGGGCCCGGGGCAGCCCCATCCGCCCCTTGCCCCACCATACTGTAAATTCTGAGAAATCCTCTTCTGCGGTTTCGAGGGCCCCTCCCTGCCTCTCTTGCTCCAGCGCCAGCGCCCAGGCCACTGCCTTCCTGTCTTGGGGCCTCTGTGGACAGGAACCCATCCCCAGGGGGTCCCCATCCCCAGGGGGTCCCCACGTGGAGTAGGGAGGAAGCCAGCCTCCCGCTGGTGCTGTCCCAGTGCCCCCCAGGCCCTCAGTGTCCCCTTCTGTAGATCGGGGAGGGGAACGGTCAGTAGGGGAGACTCCTGGGGGGTCTGGCGGGTGGTCTCCCTGGGGACGGCGACAGGAGTCACAGTTGCCGTGATTCACTTCCTGCGCTCTGCTTCCTTCCCTCTTCCTAGGTTTCACACCTTCACCTCAGAGCTCCTCACCCAGACGCCCACGTCGCCTTTCCCGTCTGAACCCAGGTGTCTGCGCATGGCTGTGCGTGCGCGCGCGTGCGTGTGTTACTGGGGATCGGACCCCAGGTGCTCACCACTAAGCTTCCTCCCCGGCCCTCTTAAGAACTGAATTTTACTTTGAGATAGAATCTCACTAAGTTGGCCAGGCTGGTCCAGAACTTGCTGCCCTCCCGCCTCAGCCTCCTAAGTACCTGGGATTCTAGGTGTGCACCGTTAAGCCTGGCTTTGGAACAGCACCTTGCTATTGAGACCAAGTTGTTGTGTAGACAGGTTCTTGTGATACAGACCAGGCTGGGCTCATGTGCAATCCTCCTGCAATCCTCTCCCAGCTCAAGGTGTTTTTTTTCCTTTTACAGAAAGGAGCGGGTGGTTCCGCCACCTGCCTCGCAAGCGCAAGGTCCCGAGTTTGATCCCCGGTACCAAAAAACAAAACAAAAAAAGAAAGGAGCAGGTATTTGGCAGCAGGCAGAG